AAGTATTCTAAACTGTATAAAAAAAATTGAAATCAATTGTGAACATCCTTTCCTTATATAGGACGGTCTCTCCTGTTACCATAGATTCACTGTGACGAGGTTAGACTGTAGACTTTATTTATATCAAAAAGCTTACAATTAATTTATAATTATAATATATTTCATGATACTATTTATTAATTTTATTAACAAGATTCCTGATGAATGAGAATGAATGACAGGTTGATAACTCAAACATTTCATCAGTATTATGAAAAAGTTATTGTGTTTTTATGGTAATTTTATGATTATAATTTGAAGCTATTGATTACTTTTTGATAGTTTTGTAAAGCAATTAAAAATAAACATAATACATAAATTTTGGAGGTTATATGACCATTTATTCATAGCATTATTTTTATTTATCAATTTTTTTTCAAAGAAAAGATCTGCATAAAATTAGCCAAACATTTTTGTTTTTTTTTCTAAAAGATTGAAATTCCATATTTGGTAATAATCTTGACTGCAGTATGCCCCATCAGCATAATGGACATTCGTTTATCACATAATGATAAAATTGAATGATGATCTTTTTTATGCTGTACCACATTGTATTTTCAATTGATTTAAAATAGAAAAAACTAGTTATAACGCGAGTGATTAAAAATCACTTGTAGAACGATGATGTTTTGTTCGAATATACTCTTCATTAGTTAAAAGGCTTGGGCAAAAAGATCAAAGAAGATCATTGATTTTGAAGGATTTCAATATGTACTGAATTTTTTTGATTCAAGGCTTTTACTGTATATTATAAAACATATTATACAAAAAAAATATTTATTTATTCTTAAAAGGTAATAATGTCAAGATTTTTTTTTTAATAAAAACAAGAAATGATTTTAATAATAATAATTATTATTATACAACAATATTATAATAGTAACAATAAATAAATGAAATGCCAGCAACTTGCAAATGTCATATTTCAAAACCATGTCATCAAAGATCTGTCAGTCTAAACACTTGTGCTTCGTGTCGTGGAGTAATAATTTCAAATTACCAATTTATTATTTGATTGAGAGCATTTTCTAATTCTTCTACAATTTCAATATTTTCTGATGTTATTGCATCTATTTCACTGGTATCATTTTCATCTTCATTATTATCATCAATTTCTTCATTTAACATTTCATTGTTATTTTCTACTTCTTTTTCTAATCTATTAACATAAGATTTTACATTTGTAGTAATTCCATTTTCATAAAACTCTAGACAATATTTACAATTTCTACCAATTGTATTATAACAATTCAAATGATATCCATGTCCACATATCAGCACCAAACCAGTAGGATCATAATTACTCACAAATTTTTGTTTGCAATGATCACAACTATCAATCAATGGTCTAAATGAAGTGTGAAATGCTGTAGGTAAATTTTTTAATTTTACATTTTGATTTAGTGCTGCAAAATAGATCTTATTCTTGTTA